AGGAGGTTTAAGATTCAGATCTCTTCATGACTTGTCTAATGCTTTTTTTTTTGCTACGCTATGGTGGAACTTCATGACATCTACTTCATTGTAAAGCACATATATGTGGAATAAATACTACAAGAAAGTTCATCCAACCCTAGCAAAAGGTGTTGGGGGATCACATGTTTGGAGAAAAATGACATCAGTAAGAGAAGAGCTGGAGCATAATATATGGTGGCAAATAAGAAGAGGTAACTCAAGTTTCTAATTTGACAATTGAACAAAGCAGGGTGCACTGTACTTTATAGAAGGGGACAATACAAGGGAGGAGGAGATAAAGATAAAAACATTCATCACTTAGGGAACTGGGATGAGACAAAACTGCTAACAAGGCTATCACAGGAGATCATAGAATACATTATAGAAAGTATCAAGCCTTCAGTTGGTGAAGGAAATGACACAGCTTGGTGGATGGGGAATACTCAGGGAGCTTTCACTGTTAAGTTTGCCTGGCAGCAGATGAGAAAAAAGAAAGAAGGAAGAAGAGATTATGATTTGTTGTGAAACAAAAGAGTGTCTTTTAAAGGGAACTTATTCTTATGGAAGGTATGGAAGAGAAGGATACCTACTGATGACAACCTAAGGAGAATGAGAATCCTAATTGTATCAAGATGTTGGTGTTGTGAGACCAAACTGGAGGAAACTATGACACATCTTTTCCTAACAACCCCCATAGCCACTGGAGGTAGTTTGCTATTTTTGCAGGTATAAACATAGGAATGCATCTGCAACAGCTCATAATCACTTAGTGGAACCATGATGCCCCACCAAAGCTACAAATCATATATAGAGCTATGACAACATTAATAATGTGGACATTATGGAAAATAAGAAATAACATAAAGCACGGAGGTAACACCACATTCACAAAAATGGTGTCACAAATACAGGAAATGATCAGAAAGGTAGTAAAGCTACTTTACCCATGGATAAGACTTAATAGAAGAGACTGGCCAGACTTCATTACTAAAATAAAGGAGTATAAGCCAAAATTATATGTCCACAATGTTTTATGGAAACCACCAGTGACACAGAAGCTGAAATATAATACTGATGGAGCAAGTAGGGGCAATTCAGGAATGAGCTCTTTTGGTTTCTATATTCGAGATGAAAGGGGAGACCTACGATATGCTAGAGCAAAAGGGATAGGCATTACAACCAATACAGAGGCATAAGTTCTTGCAATACATAAGGCATTAGAATACAGTTATTTTAATGACTTGAGAACAATAGAAACAGACTCCTTAAGTCTGAAAAAGATGATCATAAGTCAGTTGAAGGTGCCATGGGAAATAGTTGAGAAGGTGGAAGATATTAGAAATAGATTGCATCAGCTAGATTAAAAAAGCATCCATATCTTTAGGGAAGGGAATACAGTGGCAGATTCCCTAGAAAATGAGGTGATTGTTACACAAGACACAACAGAGTACAACAATTTTTAAGAGCTACCAAGCAACATAAGGAGATTAATCAATATGGACAAAGCACAAATGCCTAATTTGAGAATCAGAAACAAGCATATCAACGCACAAAGGCAGGAACAATGACAATATACAAGCATAAAGGAATGGGGAGAGTAAAGCACATGGCAGGCAATATAATTACAAAATTGTATATAAGCCATGAATTCACAACACAGAGACATAGTATATTACAAGTAAGTCATAGGAAGGACAGTACAGAAGTGAGCAAAGAGGACGCCAAAACTCCCACGGAAGGCAACATAGAAAGTTTGGGGCTTACCTAATCTTCCAGATCTGATTCCAGTCCTTTGAGGATCCATACCCGTCGGAGATACCAAAGAACATACACCAGCAATCAAGTTGAAAGTGAGCTGAATTTTCCACCGACACAACGGAAGTGAAGATGAAGATAGAGTTGTCAAATCTTTTCAACAGTCATCAGGAGATTATTACAGAAGTATTACTTTCCTTTTTGCATTGTGCCTTTTTTTAGTATTTTTTTATTTTTTGGACCTTGGTTTTTTACCATTAGCTAAATAAAACGGTCCTCAGACCACTAAATTTAAAAAAAAATTAAAAAAAAAAGATTAAATTAAAGTAGAACAAAAGAATAATTATTTTAATTATTTTTTTGGAACACGCTAAAGCAAGCCACGTCGGCGGAGACATGCCTGCTTCACCACAAACTCTCTCTTATTATATAAGAGAATATCAATTTATCAATATTTTGGTGATAAGTTGGATCAAATCGAATCTACGCTTTTCATGTATGTAACTTTTGAATCCATCTCTACATTTAAGAATCAATTAGCCAACTCTCCAATTAGAAACAAAATTGAATGTGCTTACCAATTTAAATCAATACTTGTTAAGAATTTCATGAACCTATAGTTGACCTTTGATCGAACCGACTTAGTTCAGGTAGGTAGTTTCGATTCAGGTGAACTTCTTTAATCTCTCTCATCATAAAATGGTGATTAGGTAATATATCTCTTTTCGATAGCAAAACACAAAATATGAAAAGAGAGAATTGAAACTCTGAAAAGGAAGAGAGAAGAGCAGTACTTTTCTTTTTCCATAAACAAAAGTAGTACTCGTGAATTTATTGAGTTAAATTGTTAAATTTAAGGGTTCGGATTAGGGCATTCAAAATTAGGGCTGGATATAAAATATTAAAAATTAAATTATCAAAACAATTTTTTTTTGATAATTTAATATTTGGTAATTCAATATTCGATAGCAAAATTTAGAATTATGATATTCGGGTGAATTTGATACGAGACATTAGAACCATTTGATATTTTATATTTCTCGAATATCAGTAGGTCATATATCAACATGTCCTTCAATACAAGTGCAAGGAGAAAATTAAAAATTAAACATAGACAACTAAAATACATATATATATCCTGAGGCGCTAACAAAAGAAATGGTCATTCAATTTTCCTCTTTTACTGGTACTAACTTTTGATCAACTACAAAGTGATGAAATATTGAGAATATTGCGGTCGATAGTATTTCCTAGTTACTACTTACTATTACATAGCTTTACATTTGGTCAGAATCAGGGGCGGAGCTACCCATGTCCGAGGAGTGTCAAGCGACACCCCTTTGCCGAAAAATTACATTTTATATAGGTCAAATTTTGATATATATATTAACACCTCTTAGCACAAGATGAAGATTTAGTGCATTTGTTAAGGTGTTGTAAAAGTTCTCAAAGGTCATGTGTTCTAGCCTGCTAGCCCTTTTTTTACTATAACAATTAACACTCCTTATTGAAAATTTTGGCTCCGTCACTACACCTAGAGTTGTAAAGGTGAGTTAAAGTGTAAAGCCTTAACATGTTCCAAAAAAAGGAAGTATACATGTCTCTTTCTGGTCACAACACATTAAAATCTGAAAAGGATTAGACAGATTATCTGTCTCAGCAACAATTTGTTTTGGTTGTACATTTATGTTCGGGATACATATATTGATTTTGAATTCCTTGGCACGAATATTTTTTAACTGTATCAAAAAAAAATTCTAGATATCTTCTAACTTGTTGGTCTTTATGATATCATGCATCTACATAAAAAAAAAAACATAACTAATTGAAGCGACAGTATTAACTTTTATAACACAATGGACTCCAACTTCAATACAATATTTCCGTACCGAAGTTTGGTTTATCGATTATCAAATTACTGAACCGAAATTTAAAAGTTTGATATTTGATATCTACTTTTAACCACCATTTATCGATTTATCAAACTCGAAATTTGGAAATTTCAAACGAAATACCAAACATCCACCCCTAGTCAAAATGAGCTCAAATATAGGTAATCCCATCAAAATTTTATGAGTTGGGCTCAACAAAAATTAAATTGGGTAAATCTCAACTTATTCAAGCATTAACTCATTCTAAAAAAAATCTCCAATTAAGTCCAATTTAAGCTCCAATTCAACCAATTTTAAGACTCTTTAGTTGCATTGGTGCAATGAATATTTTAGTATTTATCTATCAATTTTTTTAAGACTTTTTAGTTGCATTGGGGCAATGAATATTTTAGTATTTATCTATCCATTTTTTAAGACTCTTTAGCTGCATTGGTGCAATGAATTACTATTTACTTAATATCTTTTAATATCTATCTATCTTTCTTTCTTTTTTTGTAAATTAAAATTTGTTTTTCTGGGATCAAAATAACTGAAAATATATTCAACTGTATTTTTCTATAGAATACATGTCGAGTGAGTAAACTTAAATATATATGTTTATTTAGTTTGTATAATGTTTGGTGACTTTCCACTTTAAAATCAAGAACTTATATTATTTTTTTGAGTTGAAATTCAAATTGTGGTGACAAAAGGTAAATAATAATATATTAACATTCTTGAGATTAAGCGGGTCAAATTGGGTGGATCATGACACAATTTGATTTACTTTACAAGTCCAATGCATTTTAGCCAAAGGTAATTCTAAGCGGATCATAACCTAATTCAATTTCTAATTCAACCTATTCTAATTTCTCCAATTTCAGTCCAACCAACCCATTTAACACGCCTAGTTGGAACCAAATGCATCATCCTTTTACATATATTAGGCACTATCTCAATCTAGGGGATATATCAAGGACAAAAAAAAGGTTCACAGCCATTCAGATTGGCTGGAAAAGAGTAGTTTAAAAAAAATAATTTTTAAGTCAAATACTCCTAAAAGTTAAAAATGACTTAAAAGTAGATTTGACCAATTTTTAAGCTAATCCAAACAGCTCAATCTCCACACATCAAGGACTATTTTGGTCATTTTCTCTAAAGTTTAAACTAACTAATTTCAGCATTTAATACACATTGCTGAAACTAATCCGACTCCTTCAAGTTGAGATTCAAAGAAGTGGCATCTTCTTATTGGAATTACTTTTGCCGTCGTTTGTAATAATAGTGGTGGCCAAACAGTAAACAAAACATGCTTTGTACTCATTAAATGAAAGAGAGAAGAAAGGCTTAAAATGGGGGAAGGAAATACCATATTAATAAACAATAAATACTCTGTAAGCACAAGAAAGAAGTTATATGACAGAAGTAAACAGAGACCGTTTAAATCCAAACAGAGATTGTCCTTTTTCCAAATTTGGTCTGTGATTTTCTTTATTTCCGTATATGCACCTCAAACTTCTGTAGAGAAACATGAACAAGTGGAAACATGTCACCTATCATACCAGCCTTGTGGCGGCTGGCCTTACCCACCATTCATCAATTTGTCCAACACCACATTCAAATCAACTGACTGTCCATTCTCTGTCAGTCTCCGCACAGTTGCTCTTACTTGGTCTCTTGGAAATCCCATATTTGTCACTTTATCAACTACATCATCAATAGGAACTCTATTTCCAGTACGAGGAGAACTAGACCCACTACTAACTGCAGAAGCAGTAGGCAGCGCTTGAGGTAATATTCTTGCTGTGGGAAGCTGTGGGTAACCATTTCCACCACTCTGGCCCATTGAGGGTGAAGCAAGTTGCTGTGATTTCAACGGGTAACCACTGCCATACTGGACTGTGGACCCGCTATAAGGATAAGATTCACCAGGTTCAGTTGATGGGCCATATGCACTGGCAAATCCAGGACCCTGTCTGCTAGATGGGGGCTCAAACAGATTAGGGGGAGCTGCATAAAACTGATGGGACACAGGGGCTCCACTTGATGGATGAGAGGGAGATTGACTAGTGTTTGCTGGTGGATAGGTCTGCGATGCTATAAAATGTCTCTCCTCAGGATGATGGATCAATGGAGGTTGAGGTTGTGAGGGATTAACAGATGGAAGAGGCGGATGAGTTTGAGAAGGTGGAGGTGGCTGAGAGTACAATGATGAAGGGGAAGGCTGATACTGTTGATGTGGAGGTGGTGGGATAGAAGTCTGTCGCTGCTGATGTGGTGCAGACTGTTGGTACTGCTGACTAGAGTTTTCTGGTGCTTGACCAGTTGATTGGAAGTAAGTTTCTCGTTGAGTGCCGGAAGGAATTGGATTATGGGGAAACTGGTCCTGAAGCTCAACTTGAGGTGGAATTTTCTGTTGCAGAGGGGGTGGTGGAGCATTTGGTGGAGGAAGAGGGGAAGGCGATTGAGCAAGCGCAACAGGAGGAAATTGTTGGTGAGATTGAAGAGGAGCAGATGCCCTATGATGCGCTGAGTCAACATGTGTAGTATTGTGGGTGTCTATTTCCTGCTCAAATTTTGGAACTTGCAATTTTGTGAGCTGCAGTTGAGTATCTATTATATCCTGTTTATTCTTTATGACCTGTACACCATCTTGCACCTACATGAAATTTATGTAACAAGAAAATAACATAGTTCACAAGGATTATACAAAAAGAAAAGGGAAGCAGCTAAAATTTTAATTTCGAATTTCATCTTCTCCTTTTCTTTTTTGTTTTTAGTCCAATTTCAATTTTTTTGTTACTTCTCAATCTGCTTTGACAGGTAACTGAAAATTTGATCTTGCCTAGTATAAAACAGAAATAGAAGCAAGGTCAAATAATTCTTCAAGCAATCACCAAATGAACATCATCATAAATTTTATTCAACATGCTATAGGCGTGATTCTCTCCTTCCAGAATAGGGAGCATCCAAGAATATCCTCTCTCCCAACTTCAGAAAATAAAAAGAATTCCAAAAAATCCATTCAGTTCTTAATAACATGTACCATTTTCAAATGCTGATATCTTTGTTTTTAGCAAAATCTTTAAAGTAATAGTTGTACTGCTATAGGCCAGGGCCCACCTAGAATATGAAGGGGCCAGTGCATAGATAGCCGATTTTGGGAAAACCTTTAAGCCTAACCGTGTATAAAAATTAGCAAGTTTATCCACTTTAGAACCAACTTCAGGCATACACAACTGAAATTGCAAAATTCATGTTTGAAAATTGGCAACAAACATCCTGACATATTTTCCTGAAGTTTGGCTTGCCATGACCAAACTTCCAACATTTTGCCTGAAGTTTGACTTGCCAAGGCCAAAAATCCGACAGTCGCGCCTGAAGTTTGGCTTGCCAAGGCCAAACATGTATATCTGAAGTTTTTTTTTTTTTTTTTATGAAGTAAATGTAACATGTATATCTGAAGATTTGCTTAAGTTTAGACTACCAATCTTCATCCCTGACAATGTTTTCAAATGTTTCCAACAACACCCACTTGATTTAAACTAATTTTATATATTTGAAATTCAAGATCCACTTCTTCAAGCTTAGAACAATGATGAATTTAGTGCTGAAAACACTTGACAGACTATGGATGCAAAGTTTTTAAAAGGCCCTAGATGGTGTTGCGCAATACATAATGACGCAACTCGGAAACAGGAACCATTGTAGCGATGCAAATTGAGAACAATTCACGAAACATCTCTATAGCTCAAAACCTAGAGAATTACTTCCGCCACCTAACATAATTAGAGAATTCTCTCCTTGCAAGACTGGATTGTATCAATAAGAGTATATTTATGCGGAGGGTATTTCTCTAAAAGAATGATACTGAAGATGACACAGTAATACAAAAAGGCAGAGTGCGAAATTCCTAAGATTAGTGTAATCAGCAAGCACGAGAAAACGATAAGCATATGAATAAGATAAGTGCAACTTTAATCAACGAAGGATCCCAAAAAATGCAGCCTACACTTGCCCAGCTGTACAGCAGTTCAGTTAAAGAACAAAGTAGGAAGAAACTGAATAGATGATACCTCTCTGAGAATATTTTCCACCAGTCTTAGTTTTCCATCAGTGTTCCCATGGTTATTATCGACAGACAACTTGAGTTCCACAACAAAAGCTTCAATCTGGCGACTTCTAGTTTCTAATTGTGATAGTCGAGCGCTCACACTCTCTATTGCATGTAGAAGATTATCAGCATACTTCTTCACAGTATGATCAATTTCAGATAACAAAGATGCATCAATAGTGCTCAAATCTTTTTCCACGATGAGTTTGGCTGGTTCTATTGAGTCAGGAGAACTATAATTCTGCATTGAATTAGAGAAATAACAATTACAGAATCCCTATTATTGACAGAATGTATGTATATTTCCAAAATCTGACCCAACAATGCATGTCAAACTCCAACTACAGGATTCAGCATAACACACATGAATAGCAAGAGAAATGAGAAACAGATAAAAACAAGAACACTAGTGCCACAAAAAATCCCACAATCAACTAGTGCAGATAGGAGTACCTTGGACATGTACTAAGAGAAGCATAAACATAGTCTTACCTTGCCGATGCTTTTCAAATTGAGAATCATATCATAGCAAAAGATAATTGGAAAATTAGAAAGATCAGTTGACCTACTTCCTCTCCTATGCATAAATAAAGGCCAAGTAAAAGCTTTGTTTTCATATACTAGTATCTTCTTTGATGCTTCTTCATCTAGATGTGCTTCTTCATCTAGATGTGCCAGAAAGAGAAAAATTTCAGTATACCTTGTTTTTTTTTTTTTAACAGGTAACAACTTTGTATTATAAACCAGTACTTGGGAAGCCCAAGTACTGAACCCTTTACAAAAGAAAGTGCAAAAGAGAAAATAACAAAAAACAAGGTGAAACAGGATACAATCCTAACATGAATCAGAAACATCCAGGATTGTCTCTGTATCTTTAGGATATGACTGTACACCAGAAACAAAATAGCAGAACACAGTTCAGCTTGATCTTCTGTATAGTGCTACTTCTGTTCTCAAAATATCTGGGATTCCTTTCTTTCCAGATGGTCCACCAAATACAGGCTGGAATTACCCTCCAGTTTCTTCTGCTCTTAGCCCCAACCCCAGCCTCCTCCCAGCTAAAAACAGTGTCAACAATCTTACTAGGCATTGTCCAGGAGATGCCCCTGAGATTTTGAGAAATCTTCCATAGCTGACCTGTGACTTCACATGCTAAAATAAATGCTTACAGTTTCAGCTTCAGTCCCACATAGACGACAGTTTAAAGCTAAGATAATGCCTCTTCATCAAGTTCTCATGTGTAAGCATAACAACCAAGTAAAGCAAGCAACCTTATGTGGTAACTTTACTTACCAGATGAGTTTCCATCCAAGGCCAGATAAAGTTTTGTGGCTCTGTAGTATTGACAATTTTATACCCTGAGTTCACTTTATACGGTCCCTTGGTGTGTCCAGTCCACAACTCCCCCTCTTGCAACCTCTAAGAAGTTTCGAGATGTTTAAAAAGTTCAGTTAATCTAGGTATTTCCCAGTCATTCATCAGTATCCTTAAGGTTAGCTCCCAACCTTGAGGTGACCACATCTCAGCCATCGTCTTACTCTGGTGTATATATGAACAAACAAATTGAAAAAATAAATTATGATCACGTGAAATATCAAATTTTTAGTGTCGCCTCTTCAAGAGAGGCTCATTGGCAAGGATAAGTATGCCTTAGAACCTTGACGACACAGAAGCGCACATAAAGCGAGGCGAATCGCTCAACAGGTTTTGAGCGTTGCTTTAGGGCTTAAGCGCGCCTTTGATAACATAACACGGCTCACACTTCTCCAAAACTGCATCTGATATCTCTTTGGATCTTGACTTTGCACCCAGTGGCATCCCAAGATAGACAATGGGTAACTGACCCACTTAACCTCCTAAAAAAGAAGACAAAAGCTCCAAATTAGGAACATACTTAATGGGATAAATATGGCTTTTCCTCCAGTTGATATGAAGACCTGAGGTTCCTTCAAAGGAAACCAGCCTGCATTGCTGGCTAATTCAGATTTCAGGAACTATAATAACTGATCTAGCTTCTCCCTTGAGAGACAGGATACTCATGTACCTACCATGGTCATTATACTTCCTCGTACCATAGATATTAGCCACTTGATCCTTTTTCCTCCATCTCCTCACCATGTTCTTTTGGTCATTTGAATCCTCCCTAAGAATAAAGCAGACCCATTCCATAATCTTCTTGCCGAGGGTTATCCTTCTCAACCCACTCAACCCAGATATTGTTGCATCATGCATGAGGTCCATTTGGTAATATCAAAAGACTTGAAACCAGCATTAGAGCATATTCTGTTTTCCCCCATGACAAAGACAGAGCTAATCAAGAGATAAAAAGGGAAGAGGTTTTTATCAATAATGACAATGTGGGTGGTTACTGTTGGCAGGAAGGAAAACAGGCTGATTCTGGTGAATCTACGCGGAAAGGAGATCTTCTACAGTCCTAGAAAGTAGGAGGGAGAAAAACTTTGGTAAACATGTGTGGGAGCATTCTACACATACATATCTATTATTTGTTGTCTAACGTTTTTTCTGATTTCAGTATACTTTGTAGGTTGATTACATCCACAAATTTCCAGCAACTTGAGCAACTGTTTCCTTTAAAAAAAAAACTTGAGAAAGGAAGGTAAGCCCCCCTTTGATAGTGCAGGATATCATCTAGAAAACAACCAACAAGGAGAAGTGGGACACACAAAATTGGAGAAGAAGGGAATGTGCCACATCCCCCTCCCCCTCCAAGCAAAAAAAAAAAAAACAGAAGCAAACCTATGGTGTATACTTGAATCACATAAGGAAAGAAAATATAAGTAATCATATAGGGAAAGAAAAAAATAACTTACAGTCCAATAGTTTCTGGAGCAAACATTCTTTTTGATAAGGGTTTCAGGAGCAATCTTAAATGTTCACTTCTTCTAAGGGTTTAGCTTATAGTAGAACATTATGCACAGCAAGACATCAATAAGCAGGATGTGGCTTCCAACACCACCACTCAGTTAGACACCTCCTAAGAATTTAGAGTTCCATTTCCTTGTCCTACTGTTTACTGATTAAGCAGTTTAATATCCATAGCGCATATCCTAGTTCAGAATTACCTAATCAACATGAAGAGTATCTCAATAGGAATTTTCCTTGCCTTCGTTTAGCTTAGCGTTCATAAAAGAAAGATAATATTGCAATAAAAGATGTGAAAACGAAAATGTCATATCTAGACCACAAAATGTTTCCTGATATCCAACTCCAAGTCGTTATGGTAAGCCTATTGAACATCTGAAGCAGATAATATACCACTCACTACAGACCATATCTAACCTCTTCAAATTGCATCATTAAACAACAAGAGTCCAAGTTGGGACGTGCATGTGTTAACTGAATCCTACTGTACTGGGTCCAAATGAAGCAGACAATCAATTAAGAGGATCCACCTGGCCAAACCCTACTGAAGGAAATGATATTGAGTCAACATACATGCAAAACAACACTAATCAACCACAAAGATTGCAACAACAACAACTAAATACCCAGTGGAATCCCAATAGTGGGACCAGTGTTATGAATGGCGAGAGCCATTCGCCAAAGGCGATATGGCGAGGCGAGGCGAGCCATTCTACAATGAGGCATGGCGACATCAAAAAGGCGACCAGAAGGAGACGTAAATGGCGGCGCCATTTTGGACTTTTAATTTTTAAAAAGATTTGACTTAATAATATTAGTCAAAATTAGGGTTTTTTTTTCTATTTTCAAACTTTCAGTCGCGTTCTCCTTGCGATCTCTTCTCCACCTTCAGTCGATCGAGTTGCTGCTCCTCTTCCCCTCGCGTCTCTTCTCCTCCTTCATCACACAGTTGCTGCTCCTCTTCCCCTCGGCCTCGCGTCTCTTCTCCTCCTTCATCGCAGGAGTTGCTGCCAGGTGACCTCTTTTTTTTCTTCTTCTTTTCAGTTCTTCTTCTTCTTGAGTTCTCTTCTTCAGTTCTTGTTCAGATTTCTTTTTCTCTGCTTTTTTCGTATCGTTTCTGTTGCTTCTTTCTTTTTGAGATACAGCTGCCTTCACTGCTCTGTTTTTTACCTCTGTTTTATTGTTCACATTTCACTCTACTGCCTATAAATTTTTTTTAAAAAAAAATTAATTCTTCTATAATTATTTATCCATTTGACCATAAACAGTGAATTGACTGAATTCAATGGCGGATGCCAGCAAAAAGAGGGACATTGGATGGAATTATGGTACTCAAGGAGCAACGAAAGATTCGGTTAATTGTAACTTTTGTGGGAGTACTTTTAATGGTGGAATAACTCGACACAAGCAACATTTAGTGGGTGGTTTCAAGAATGTTAAACAATGTACAGCTTGTCCATCGGCGATTAGAGAAGAAGTAAGGGCTTATATGCAAAATAAAATCGCTAATAATCCCAAATTTCAAGTGAGGCAACCGGAAGAGTATATTGATATTGATGATGTTGATGATATGGATGAATATGCGGAAATGATGCCTCCCTCCAAAATTCCAAAGATATCTTCTAGTGGAGGTGCATCATCCACCGCGCGGAATGTGACGAAAGGCCCTATGAATCTCTATTTTCCGCAGAAATCAACACAAAAAGGAGGCTTTGAAAAAGGAGGAGGAATTGATGAAACAAAAAAAATTCTAAGAGAGCGTGCGGTAAGTGCTTTCGCAATATGGATGTATGATGCGGGGCTCCCTTTTAATTGTGTCAATCACAAATCATTTGATAAATTTATTGAGACAGTAGGACAACATGGCCCCGGAATGAAGCCTCCTACATTCCATGAAGTTAGAGTTACTCACCTAAAAAAAGAGGTGGAGAAAGTGGAAAAAGTTGTTGATGAGCATAAAGTGCAATGGACAAAGTTTGGATGTTCCATTATGATGGACAAATGAACGGCACGAAATGGTAAAATGAACTTCAATATTTTGGTGAGTTCTCCAATCGGTAGTGTATTTCTTGGTTCTATTGATGCTAGCAATGAATCTACCGATTCCACTAGAATGTACAAGTTGTTTGAAAGCACTATTGAAAGAATTGGACCAGAAAATGTTGTACAAATTGTTACCTTTGTCAAAATGTTGTACAAATTGTCACTGATAATGCTAGTGAGAATGTTAAAGCGGGAAGCATGATGATGGGTGCGTACCCACACATTTATTGGACTCCATGTGCCGCTCATTGCATCAACTTGATGTTTGGTGACATATTCAAGGTTAAGCCATATGCTTCCGGTAATATCACTCTCCTATCCTCTAACTTTCTTTATAGTCAATAGTCAATATTTAATGCTTATTAGCTACAAATTACTATAATCTTACTTTAACAGTTTTTAAGAAGGCCATCAGAATCCATTCTTACATTAGTCAAAGGCCATTGTTGTTAAACTTGATGAGAAAATTCACCAAGGAAAGAAATTTGGTGAAACCGGCCAAGACAAGATTTGCAACGGCCTTCTTAACTTTGAGAGCTATGTACATACAAAGAAAAAACTTGAGAACTTTAGTCCTCTCAACCGAATGGACTTCAAGTAAATTTGCTTTGGAAACTTTGGGGAAAGAAGTTGCCAATCTTATTATTTCTGCCCACTTTTGGGATGATGTTGTTCGAGCACTTACAGTTTGTGGCCCTTTGACAAAAGTGCTTCGTTTGGTGGATGGGGAGAAAAAACCACCAATTGGCTATATTTATGAAGCAATGGATAGAGCCAAAGAAACTATTGAACGGGGTTTTCGTGGAATTAAGAAGCAATATGAGAAAGTGTTTGAAATTATTGATGCAAGGTGGTCAGACCAACTCCATCGGCCTTTGCATGCTGCAGGCCATGTTTTGAACCCAGGATTGTATTATAAAGCTCAAGAAGAGGGAACTTTACTACAGAGTCTGTGGACTGAGTATTATGCATGTGTTGAGAAGATGATCCCTGATACAACAATACAAGATTTACTAGTCGCTGAGCTTCCTAGGTACAAAATGGCGGATGGACAATTTGGTTGTGGTCCGGCTAAAAGAGCTAGAGACACAAGGTCACCGGGTAAGTGAGTTGATTTAGCTCTTAAATTATTTGGCTTATTTATACTCATTAACCTTTAAATTTATTTTATTATAGTTGAATGGTGGTCACTATTTGGTAGTGAAACACCCAACTTGCTAAAGTTTGCCATGAAAGTATTAAGCCTAACTTGTAGCTCATCCGGATGTGAGCGAAATTGGAGTGTGTTTGAACACGTAAGTAAAAAAATTATATCTTAATTTCCATATTATATTATTATCAATATCTATTAGTTAATATCTATAACTTATGCGCAGATTCATTCCAAAAAGAGGAATAGGCTTGCACTATCGCGTCTCAATGATCTAGTGTACATTAAGTACAATAGAACATTGAAACGTCGTTATGATGCTCGTGATCTCATTGATCCAATTCGCTTGGATAACATTGATGATTCAAATGAATGGTTAGTTGGATGCCCCGAAGATCAAGAAGATGAACTAGTATATGAGGATGATGATCTTACTTGGGGTAGCGTTGCTACGGCAATTGGAGCTGATGAGAGTATTCATCATCTTAGGGGACTTTCTTCAAGATCAAGAGCACTTGACAAGGGCAAAGGAGTAGAAACTACATCTACAAGTTCAACTTCAAGTAGGACTCGGACACTAATTGATGAAGACTACGAGGAGGAAGAAGATGAGGATCAATATAATGATGTAGAGGATGTTGATCTTCAAGAGTTGGATAGTTTTGAAGAAGAATAGACTTTTAGAGTTCTAGTATTGTCTTTTGAATTATTGGGTCTTTAAAGTTCTAGACTTTTAGTATCTACTTTTAGTTTTTGAATTGAAATATTTGCTAATATATGTTATTGCTATTGAGATTTTGGATATTTATATATGCAATTAAATATTTTTAATTTTTGGTATTAATTGGCGCCTCAATTCAAAAAGGCGAGCGCCTCGCCGCGTGGCAGGCCCTTGTCGCCTTTTGTCGCCTCTCGCCGTCCAAAACACTGAGTGGGACCTTGGGAGAGTAGAGTGTACCACTATCGACCCTCATCTCAAGTGTAGCAAATCCAAGTAGAAAGAATAAGAAAACACAGCAACTAACAAAGGAAACTAGCCACAACCACAAAGATTGCAACAAATAGAGAAAAATCGAAGCTCACACCAACATAACAAGAAAATCAAAAGCAGGTGTTCATTGTGGGGTCAGATAGACAGATTGAAACGGTTAATTGAGATACTAATACAAGTATAGACATACATAAGCATGTAAAAAAGATAGACAGGAGCAATTACAGTGTTGGTTTTGGTATCAGCAGAATTCCAAGCCCTAGCTCCATCAACCTGAATCCAATCAATGTTATAATTGGGGAACGATTCAATTGGGCGAACAGGATGGTTTTCCCCTTTTACACCGCCGGTGATGTGATGTTGGTCGTCGTGAAGGTTGATGAAGTCATTGTTGCTGAGTGAGCTCGATAGATCCATGATCTGTTTATCCATATACTGCGACGAATTCATTCGATGCTCTGGTCACACTAGTGTTCGTCTGATTTTGGATTACCTCACCTCAAACTGAAGAAAACTATGGAGGTTTACCCTTTATTTATTCCACAATGATCGGAATTCGGAACGCACACAAAAGTCATTAACGTTGCTCGCAAGTATAGGTGACAATTTCAATCACTCCATTTAACCTATACAATTCGCAACTAACACTTGGGGGTAATTATGTGAGTTGCGTTTTAAATTTGTATAAGGTAGTAATTTCAATTTCGACCTATTATACAAAATCTATTTTCTCTCTCCATAATTCTTTGACTTTATTTTCTCCTTAATTCACTCAACATAAATAGATTTGAAAATTTGAAAATTTCATTCTTTTTCTCTCAATTCGTGATTTCAGATTTTCAGGGCAACAATTGTGCGGTTTCCATTTTTTATTTGCTTTGGTGGTTTCATTCTTCTTCGTTTGACTTGTATTTATATATGATGGTGATTTTCTTTGATTTTTCAGTTTTATCATCATATACAATTAATTCATTTTTGTTTAACTTTTTAAAGTTCTGATGGTTATATTTGTATAACTTCAAACAATTTTTTTAGATTTATGATATTTATATAATTTAGAAATTTGTATAATTTCAAACAACAGAGTAACCCAATGATCCAGCATGATCTCAGGGAGCTAGCACAAAGGGGGAGAAGGCTACCAGATGGAGTTTTTTGTTGAAAAATGGTTTACCCCACCTATATTTATAGTAGAAGCAGTTAATTTTGATAAGAATCAACCGTTGGTAGAACATCCAGGAATGTCTATATGTAATCTAGTTAATAGCTCACATAGATGTGAGAGGCTACATTCGAATGATGGTAGTACATCGGGCACTGTTGATGTAATGACGCTTATGTTTTAAGTTTATTAATATAACATCCTATTATTACCAAAAAAAAAGATCTACAGTTGTATTTATATTTGTATAATTTTAAAATTGTGTATAGTTAGCCTGATTGTATAGTTGTACTCATATTTGTATAATTTTGAATTGTATATAGTTACCCTGATTGTATCGTTGTACTCATATTTGTATAATTCTGAAACTGTCTACAGTTACCACAATTGTATATTTGTCGTTGTATAATTCCAAAATTGTATATAGTTACCATAATTGTTTATTTGTATATATTTTGTTTAATGTTTGGGATTTGTTTCTGATTATTTCATTTTTGACATGATTTGTTAGGAAGCAAACAAGCTCCAATTAATGCCCCTCATAAGCAATGTTAATACAAATATTGGTATAATGGAATAATATTCGTATAATAGATGACTTACGCAAGTGTCTGCCTGAAGATGCATTCAATCATTTTTGCGCAACAATTTATACAAATCAAATTGGTACTTACCAGCTTATACAAATACGTACAAAGATAGCTTAATTATATTATTATAAATATATCTTCTTCTTACTTATTCAATTCAAATACAATTGAAAATCGTTCTTCCACCAGAACATCAATTATCAATGGATTCATTATGAAAATTTCGAAGTGAATACAAATCAAATAATATACAATTTTGACCAAATCTTCAATAAATATTGTTACAAATACAATTTCAACAAATTACATAACTCATCTATAAGTAATTTGATTTGATTGATTCAGAACACAAAAAAAGGAAGTGAATTCATTGAATCATGTTCAATTTGTATAATCAACAAAGAAACTAATTGATTTTTTTTAGTTACACACGTCGATTTCATAAACCAGAAAGAATCGTGTTGTTAATATAGAGGAAGTCATATTTGGTATGAAACCCTAATGAGATACTATTCTGTTATTTATGGAACTGTTTACCATTTTTAATCGAGATTGCCTCTCATTTTAATAAAATAAAATTGAATTCTGAAATGTATAAATTCATAAAAACATGTGAATTATACAAAAGAGAATGCCCATAACAACTGAAATTGTAGCTACAACCCGTAATTATGCAATCTCTAGCTAAGGAGCCTAATTAAATTTTATATAGTAGCTATTTGCGAAATTTACTTTATCCTTATTGGACCACAACCCAAATATTTTACTTGAGATACTCCTTGTTTGCACGGACCAGTGGTTCTTTTGTTCTTCTTTTTTGTCTTGTCATTTATGTCTTTGTACTTCAAGTTATTATTTTTATCTTATCATTTATTGACTTTGTACTTTAATCGAAAAAGGATCATATTTCCCCTTGTATTTTTACAAAAAGGTTATATTTGCCCTTATCATACTTTTTTGACTTATTTGCCTCTGTCATACAACTTTAGGCACATATTTATCCATAGACTATTAAGTTTCACGTTTTCACTTTTATCATCCTACATGGTGTTATATATATAATCTGCTTAAAATCTCCTCCTAATTTAATTAAGAAAAAAGGAAAAATATACCCCCGAACTATCGTAAATGGTATCTAAATATCTTTCGTTATACTTTTGGGACACTGATGACCTTACCGTCCAAATTTTGGGACATATATAACCTTTCTAGTAACGGCGGGATCTAAAAACGCCTACCCAAAAACCACCCAGATTTATTAAAACCCACAAACAAATTATAACCAAAATCATCTACTCTTTTATCCACCCATTTTAATTCTCAATTCCATTATAAACAGACCCACATGATTTTTTGTTAGCAAATGCAATTTCATAAACTCATTTTGATCCTTAATTGATTATAAACAGACCTAAAATAATTTTTGTTAGCAAATGTCAGATGAATTTTTGTTATATTTAGATTTATAAAAATAATTTATGATACTTCACTATAAACACTTTTTTTCTCCTAAAACTTTGGCAGCAATGGAACACGTCAAATTATTTGACCTCCAAGTTGTGGTTGTGGTTGAGGAGAAGAAAGAATTCTTTGATCTCCATTATAAATTCTTTTAAATTATTTTTTAAAAGCTAAATATAATAGTCACATTTTTAGCATTACTATGAATTTCATTGAATACTACATCAAATTATTTCTTTTCCTCAATCACAACTGGTGCTTCTGCTGCTCGACCAGGGGCATTGACGATAGCTGCGGATCCGAAGATGCGGCTGAAACTCCAAGCTTGACTACCTTCTTCGGTGCTTCAATAGTGGTAAGAGGGCAGACGAAAGTTGCTCGGTAGTGGTGGAATTTGGGAGTGCGAATGGGGAGTTCTAGGGTTTTGGTGGGGAAGAAAATTGATGCTTTTTAATTTGGATTTGGTGGAGAAGATGATAAGTGTTTAGAGAAGTTTTGGGTTGTAATTTGGGTGGGCTTTTTAATTAATCTGGGCGGGTCTTTTATTTATGGATTGAAATTTCATAAATTTTGGATAGACGTTTTAGATTGCGACACGTGTCCCGCTGTTAGTAGAAAGGTTATATAAGTCCCAAAATTTGGACGATAAGGACATCAGTGTCCAAAAAGTATAACGAAAGGTATTTAGATACCATTTACGATAGTTCGGGGGGTATATTTATCCTTTTATACCCAATCAATATTATAACCACCAATTTAACAAATAAAACTTCCAATCTGTAGACGAAAATATTATGATTCAATGTAATCCAACATGATTCAATTAGGTATACACATAAGAAAATAATAATCAGTTTTCCAATCTGATTCAACTCCAACGCAATCCCAAATAAGGTGAGATCTACTATATGAACCATTTGTATCATGCTCTAATTATTTTTTTAAGAGAAAATCTGGTAACCAAAAATTTTATGGACAATCGTGCGATAAACGTCATCAAATTTCTTTCCAAGATAAACTGCATCAACGATTATTCCATAGGATAGCAGGGCTTGAAATGGTACCATCACCTGAACAATAACAAACAAAATAATTTAATAAATCAGTAACCATTAATTATTCTTAGCATATATCCAATTACTAAAATCAAGAATGTAAAAAAATGTTCTAATACAAAAAACCTCATAGTCTTCATTGTATTTCCACATAGTAAGACTGTAAACGAATCCATTGATAATTCATCATTTTTCAATCGGTTAGAGTTGAGGTCCCTCCATAATATTGATTGGACATAATAATTAAATTAGGAGGAAATTTTAAGTGAACTAAATATATTTATCTATGTAGGCGTTAAGTAGGATGATAAAAGTGGTGATATGAAACTTAATAGTCTAGGGATAAATATGTGTCCAAAGTTGGATGACACGAACAAATTAACCAAAAAAGTATGACAAAGGGCAACTATAACTGTTGTGATGTAAAGTAGGTGACATTAGTGTTAATAGTTAGTTAGTAACAAAAAGGGCAATTTAGTCTATCAAGAAGAGTTAGTTATAACTAACTCAATGCACTGTTATCAAAGTAGTTACAAGGATAGCTCTATAAATAGCTACTCTCCATTGTATTTTTGCTTTAAGCCGATATATGAAATCTTCTCCTCTCTTCTTCTTCTTTCTCATTCTCTTCTCTAAATCTTTCATTCATGATTGAGTTTCTTTAGTTTACGATCATGGTATCAGAGCTTTGTGCTTCAGTCTGATTAGGAGCTGAAGTCGGTATTGTTCAAATAATCAATTATATGATTCATCGTTCATGGAAGTGTGTTAAAGGTGGTCACAGATCGTAGTTTGAGATAAGGCTGGAATTTATATTATTTGTGTTTGAACTGTTAGCTATTTGTTTCCGCGATTTGAAGCTCAATTTGATCATAAATGGCACCTGAAAGTAATTCGACTGATCTACCTCAAAATGGATCTGCAGCTTTTATTTCTCAAACTAGCAGTTCAGTGCAAGGACAAGGTATTAATTATAATCATCCTATGTTTCTTAATCCTACTGATGTTAGTGGTATTAGCTTGATTTCGTTTCAATTGCTTGGTATTGAAAATTATATACTATGGAGTAGATCTATTCGTTTAGCATTGTTAGGAAGAAATAAGCGTGGGTTAATTGATTGAACTGTCAGAAAGGAAATGTATGGTGTAGAATTGTGGGGACATTGGGAAAGGGTGAACACAATTGTGTTGTCCTGG